AGTGTGTGGTAGGTTGTTTTTGTTTTGTTGTTTATTGTTGTTGTTGGAGTTATTTTTGGTCCTTTGCACCTTGTTGAAGTGATCTAATTCTGTGGTAGCGTGGCCGAGCGGTCTCAGGTGCCGTTTTTAAAGGGTGTCGTTGGGTTTTTTTTTCTGTCAGTGGTAATAATATTTGTTCATTGCAATCATTGTAAGGCTTCTTTCATGAATAATATTCACCCACCAACGTCAACGTGGAAAATTGAAAGAATCTTTCCTTCTCCCGGGAAAAAAGTCGGTGAATGTGCGCAGTGGGTAGCAGTAGTTATGTGTATTATAATATCCTTCTGTGGTTCCAAATAAATGTAGACGAATGTTGAAGAAAATTTTCGTGACGTTAACAAATCCAATGTTTGAGTGCAAGAGAGTTGAACGCAGTGATATTTTGAATCACTAATGGCGAATAACTTAAGTAATACATTCATGTTATCTTGAATAAAATCAAATTCATCTGCCTTATCTGCAAAGCACATTTTGGTCAGACACGGTGTTCTGCCGTGCTCCTTTCTCCACATCAAATTGGTAACGGTGTCAATAGTATATGAATAGTCACGGGAGATGTTCGGTGCATAGTTGAGACTGTTTGTGAATGAATTGTCTAGCAAATCCCCAAGGTTTTCCACTAGAAACTTTGAATTTATTGTTCGAATGTTTACCACATCCCAACTCTCTTATTTGACGACTACATTGCATGAATTAAATGAATAACATCCTGTTTCGTCACATTTTTTCTCAGTATGGAGAAGTTATCAAAATCTCTTATGACTACTCGTGAGTAGTGATGGTTTACAAATGAAATTGTTTTCATGTTGAATGTAGCAGTAATTACATCCGAAACCAAGATTGGTCCGATCAACAGAAACAACATATTTGAAAAAGGAGGCAAAAAATTAAGATAGCTTATAGTTTAAAAATATAGAGTGGGTACAGTTTTATTTTTTTCGGTACAAGAAACGTTATTATTCGCCGAATGCGCTTTCCTTTATTTCAGAAATAAAGATAAATGTTTTAGGTGGTATAATGAGATGGTGTTTCTGGGTCGGTCACACATATGATACGCGCATGCTCTACCAGCTGAGCTGCGAGGCCTGACCGATAGCACTGATCTTTTTTCGGATTCGAATTTACTCATCCAATCGAATCCCACCGAGGCTACTGAACTTTTCAGAATCGACATACAAAATTCAAATCTGCCAAACAACCTGAACAAATATATGATAGTTCGGAGGTCTTCAGTAGTAAAATCATTACTATCAGTTTTATTTCTCATTATCAGCTCTTTATAAACCCCCTTCCTCGGCTTGGATGTCTGACAAACGTGAAAAAACAATAAAATCACGCCCTGTAAACCCGATTCTTAACAAGTTTGATAGACATTCCGGACTTACTCTACTACTACTCTACTGTTACTCCTTCAAAACTGTATTTCTTTTAAAAGTGATTTCTGAATGTACTTAACACTCTTGAAACGCTAGAAGAAATTGCCGAAAACTGAAAGTTTTACAATTTTACTACCTGAGTGCGATCTTTCCTAAGTAGTTGACAGGCCACAAATGCATCCATTATTAATTATTTTTGCCCTCCTTATAAAAGTATAAGCTTGTTTAATTCTACCATAGAAATTCTCCACTTCTGTACATCAAAAACTCTTTTAAATAACCACTGTCGGAGTAGAATGAAAAGCAATACTATTACAATTAGGAGGGTTTGGAATTTTTCCAACCGAATCAAAACTGCGAAGGCTAGGGCCGACAAAGATGTATTGTATCGTGTGTAGACAAATCGATGCACTCCGACCAGCAACCCGGTAGTTAAGTGGATAGCATGCTTGCGCTTTACCTGTGAGTTCCCGATCATGGGTTAATGGATTAGCATGGCTTATGAAAATTTTGGGCAGCTGTACAGTGCTTTCCTGTCTTGGTTTAGTTGACCTTTGTTCCATAGATAGAACAAAATTCCTCATCGGAAAAGTATTCAATTTTAAGTGCACATTTGTTAAAAAACCTTCAAGGCAATTTTTCAATTATTTGGCAATGATGGAAGTATCTGTATTCCGAAGTTTTATCACTCACCTTCCAGCAACATCAGTAAATATTTGTCCACTTACACTGTCTCTGGATTAAAAAGCAATGCGTTTTTGATAATGGGGTATATTTACGCATTTTACGAACGGGAAGGGGCATACCTACGGTCTTCAGTAATATTGTTGAACATGCACCCTATCAACTGGAATAAAATTTTTGATAATAACCGCCTCTTCATCATCTCAATGTCATGATAATATCAACAATAAGCCACTACACTTGCTGTTTACTTAACTAACGAAGAGCACGTGAAGTGTGAATAACTGTTGACTTAGTGAGTACTCCGTTAGAGTATTTTTAATACTCTAACGTCAGAGTACTGGGAGATTCACTGACTAGGGTGATTAGTTAGTTTATGAGAGCTAGCATCAATCTGCAACATGTTACGGGCTGCGAACTATTACATCTCTGGTTCCCGAGTCAGAGAAAGAATACACGCCGGATAGTATATCAGGTGAAGAAAACGTGCGTTTAAAACCGGTTCCCATAGCTCGGGTTGACTGAATTCAATTTCGCCTATTCGCCGAGCTTGGCAATTTGCTTGCAACCTAGGTGACATCTTCAGTGCTTGTGGAGTGACAGTGTTGTGCTTGTACCCTTCTGCCACTTCATATGCACTGAGGATATCACCCCGACTGGTTTTGAAACAGCATTTTATTATTGCATACTGGAATTGCCCTCATTTTTCTTCCATTATTAAGCGGCTCTCTTATTTCTGCATCAGTTAACAAGGTGATCCCCGCTGTCCTCAAAGACTCGATAAACGATAGTATTCTCTGTTTATTTCAACATCTATTCTACCTTACCAGTAGGCCATTGTTGTTGTTCCACCAATATACACTTGCCGCTTATCTGTCTGTCTCGTATCCAGCTAATGAGTGGACTGTTTCGAATCTAGCGCGTCGTCTACAGAATAGCCTTTGTGTTTATAGACCAGGGATATCACTGTGACCGGANCATCCTGTGATTGTGATCAGTCTCAGGGGATCTGAGGTTCTTCTGTCATTGTTTGCATATGATTAGATAACCTAATTTGTATAGTCCGTCAAACTGATTCTCTGAAAGAGTCTGTGCCACCATTTAAGAAAGTATACATGCGCAGATTTTCTGGGATATTCAAAGTATTCCAGTGAACAAAGCCATGAAATTTTACACCGTTTAGGATACTACTACGAAGTGACACCTGGCTGAATACGGTATATATATATATATATATATATATATATATATATATATATATATATATNTGCCACTTTGGGAGTAAGCACGGGGCCAACGTGACAGCAATAGTGATGGAAAATGAAGGATTCAGATACAGAACAGAAAAAATTAAAGAATAAAAACAGCAATGATTTTCACCATACTTGGCTGCTCTGATGTTAACCAAATGGACTTGTGAGCATTGAAAAATAAAAGCAGATAACGAGAGTCGAGAAATAAAGTAGGAATTTATTTACCTGAGTAAAGCATCGGTTTAATCAACAACCTTCGTTCTGTTATCTCATTCGCCAAATTAGGTAGATTGAAATCGGAATAAATAAAGCTAATAGCCCAACCGCTTCTCATCTGCAGTCCACTAGAGTTACTTGGGTGAATTTCTTGTTACCTATGACATCGAAATAAACACGATAGGCAATACCACCACTAACTGGGCCGATTCAGGAGATAGCACCAGTAGCGCGAACCAATCACGACACGTGACTTCGTGAGACTGAATCAATAATCGTCTCAAAATGAGTGCGCGCCAATTACGAGCAGAAACCATCGTTTAATAAACCTCAAAGATGATCAACACGGAGGAAGAAAGTGATTTCACGGAACTAGCTATCAAAGGCAGTATGAACAGACTTAGTAAATATCTAATTGAGTTTCCGGAAGTTTGCCATTGGCAAAATAGTGCAGGTGAGTATATAGCTCATTTGGCCTGCCAGTACGGACGCAGTGAAGTCGTCATGCTATTGGGTAGATTGGATTATAACTTCAACGTGGAGTACAACGCTTGCGGATATTTGCCAATTCATATCGCCTGTTACCACAAAAATGTTGATTGTGTTTTGGCGTTACATTTATGTGGTGCTGATATAAACGCAACAACAGAATCCGATTTGTGGACGCCACTACACATTGCATGTCAAATAGGATATTTGCCATTAATTCATGTACTTCTTCGTATTGGAGCTCGGACAGGCGTAAGGAATGTGTTCAACCAGACTCCTCAAGATTTAGCCCGGGCAATGGAAAACGAACAGGTGGTCACGCTGATTGAGAAGCACAAACTCATACCGCAAAATGCATGCACATGTATTCAATTATCTCCGAAGCCAGAACAGCGGTAAACAGATGAATCTTTATCGAAACGTTGCATCAATTTCGCTTTCTTTTAATGTTTGGCCCCCATGTATTGATTTCTTACTTTGGGGTTCCTCTTATTATTCCTATATGCCTTTCAAGTTTCATTTATGTGAAACAAAACCATCATATCTTTTAGTTTTTATCGTGTTTGTAATACATTCCATTTCCTTTATGTTTATCACAGTGAATTTCAATGTGTTTTTGTGTACAATTGTGCCTTGAACAGACTGTATGGAAATAAATAAGATGAAAAGTAATGCTGGGGCATCTCGTCGTTTTCTTATAGGATTGTGGCATCCAAGTTCAAAATTCTCCCAGGAAATTGCCCATTACACAGTCGCTGATCAGTTTACTGATAAGTCATCCGTCAGGGTACAATGGGCCTAAAGATAAACAATGTATCGTGCACTGTTAACATGAAGCAACCAAAGTCCCTCTGAAGTCATTTGGAAACCCAACACATGGGCAAATATACTTACTGCACTCCGTAAAACGATAGTAGTGCTCAGTTCACCATGCTTCTGCTGCAGTGAATATTCAACAGATGTACACAGAATAAATAGAAAATGCTAAGGAGCCTTTTGTCGAACACTTTAGCAAGTGTTTCCCCCAGAAAGCAAACTTTTTATTCACTTGCCAAAACGGTTCCCCTGTTATTCATATTTCCCTAACTTACAGTCAATTATTAATCTATTAGATGATCTCGTGTGTATGAAGCATTTTTCTCTCAATTTGGTGCTAACTCCACCCAACCCGACTATCCGTCTAAAACTCTGCATATCCACCATCGGAATCTTTTCAAGTTGCCCACGTCTCGCTGAAAGATGGCATCTTCTGTTATCATCAGAACCCAGTATTGCATGCAAGAACTAAATGAATGTGAGATGTAATGGTACTATCACGAAGAAAGCGTTGGCATTGTAGTACCCGGTTACCCATATCGAAGTGCGAAGTTGGTTTAGGAAGCCTCGCCGATGGTGTTGGGCGAAAGACAATCCACAAGACGGTGGGGTGGGTCGTGGCCTACATGTATTTCCTCTCATATCTTCCGTAATGTTGTCTTTGTATTCAATGTGTTCAGAGTATCATGCTTGTTTGCAAATAAGCGCTTAGCCAGTTCTCACAAGCAGTTTAACCATGGTCATCCATCAGGCTAATAATTCAATTAGTTACTGACCCTTAAGCGCTCATTTCGTGCATGACAATCAGTCGGCTGCCCGAATACCTCTAACGATAGCAGCCCGCTCACTTAGGTCTATTAGTCTATTAGTATCTTCCGCTCGGAGAGGCCAGGTCTCTCAACCGCAAAGCAGAACACTACGAACCGCGGCGATGTACACCCTTCCCTTAAGGGACAATCGGATATCATGGCGGCGCCACAGATGTCGCAGGTAGGCAAAAGCTATTCTAGGTACTTAAAGCTCTCAACTACTTCCAGCCGATCACCACAGAGGGTGAGTGCAGGCACAGGCTCCTGTCGGTCTTGAACAAGCACTTTGATGATACAAAGCACATACCACACCTGGATACCTCTATTGACAAGTGGTTTAAAGCGTGTTAGGCTGTCTATGTATTGTCACACAACAAGGCGATGTCGTCAGCATATTCTAAACGAAGGACTCTGTTCCCTGGGAGGAGCTCAACTCCACCGTTTTCTAGACCGGATAAAGCAGTCTATAGACATACTCTATGACAAAGTTGAAAAGGATATACGGTAGCCTTGTCAAATTCCAGTGGAGACGGCGAAGGGTGGCGATAGGCCCTAACCAGACCTGAGGCATGACGATAAAACTCTTTGAGGATTGGCACATACCTCTCCGGTACACCCATTACTCAACAAATGATTGCAAATTGCGGTGCTATCAACGGAGTTGAAGGCCACGCGCATGTATAAGAACAAAAGGATCGTCGGTCTTTGATAGGTATGACGGTGCTCTAACAGCTGCCGTAGGGTGAAGATTTGATCGATGCATCTATGACCGGCGCGAAACCCAGCCTCATGCATAGTGTAAAATCGGCGGAGAATGACGGGCGCCAAAAGCTTTGACGTTACTGGGATCAGGCGTATATCCTTATGACTGGCGCAGTCACTGCACGGGACCTTTTTAAAGATGGAGACGACAAGCGATTCCCTCTCACGAGGGGATCTGCTTGGTGTGCCATACATTATAGAACAGATTCCTCAGTTCTCTAACAACCTTTATTCCACCATTTTTAAATAGAGGTGAAGGAAGAACATCGTAGCCCGGCGCTTTGCGATGTCCCAAGGTTTGGATCTCCTTACGGATTTCCGCCTCAGGTGACTCTGTTGAGACAGGCCATGGGACGAGTGCCGGAGTAGCTGACGCTGGCGGTCATCTGAACTGTGCCTCGAATTGCCCCGCCCAGCGTGCAAGACGTCGCCCTTGATTCTGAATGGGAGAGCCATCAACCTCGCAGATCGTTTCGCTCACACCCAAGGCTTTCCTACCGATGACCCGGATGAGATGGAACGGCTTACGGGGAGTACCCATGGTGGTAGCACGTTCTGACGCGCGTTGAGGTTACGACTCGTTGCTCGTCGTATTTCATTAAGCTCGATGCCGGTCGGGATTGATCGGCGTCCGTA